ATTTGTTATTTACTATGAAGTTGGCTACATGCTTTAGATTTATGATCGATCCTTTAAGTAACTCCAAGGGGGGACTACTATAATCCTCTAAGCTAGACAGCAAAGGCCCAGAGGCAGGAGAACAGAGTAGGGCCCAGACAATCCTACTGCATATAGACACGAGCAGACAGCACCACATTCCTTGGAAGAGCTCTGGGGAAGAGTCCAACAGGGCTCCAGAGATTTGGGGAAGGAAGTGTCTGGTCACCAGACACAGGCTTATTCCAGAGATTGCCTTTTCCTTTTAAGTGTAGTAAATGATTGGGCGGTGCACTCAAGAGGAAAAACAGAGGCTAGCTTCAAGTTTTAGAGCAAGACACATGCCACAATCCCCTCCCTACATCCCTCCAGCCTTGAGCAGACCCTAAGGAGGAGCACTGATGTGTTCCCTGATCCTGAGAACATGCTCTCACAGGAGATGGTGTGACTGGGCTCTGATGGCCCTGGACCGCAGGGCTGCTGCTGGTTTACACACTCTCAGGCTGGTGTAGCCTCAGCTCTGACCTAACACAGGCCCAGGGCTGGGCACGCTCAGCTCCTGACTACTCTAGAAAATCCTTCATGGTTTCCACAAATATGCCAGGAACTCAGGATGGAGGGAAGAAACCTTCAACACCAGACAGAGGAGTCTGGCAAAAGGGCATCTTGTGGTGTAGAAGTGATTGAGTTTTAGGACAAAGGTCAAGCAGCCACTTGAAACAGCCCACAGGGAGTTAGGCCTGAAGCTGCCAAGAAATTTTGCAGGTGCTTGGGGAGGCCCAATGGCTTTGGACCACTTGCCAGGACAACATTCATGAGTGGACAACAACAACTTCCATCAACATCCCTAAAGAAAGTGGCCAACTCTCAGTCACCTCAGCAGCCAGAACAGGATTACTGATAATGTCCTTTCCTCTCTGTACTTTAACCCTAATGTTAACAGTTATATTTGGGCACTTACAATGTGCAGGGCTGGAATAAGTACTTCACATGCACGCTCTTACTTCAGCCTGGTAATAACTCTGTCAGACAGTGACTATGGCCCTCATCTTACAGATGATAGAATCACAGCATGGAGATGTGAGTGACTTGCCTGAGGCTACAAGTAAGAAATGGCAGCTCTGGCACCAAGGCCTACACTCTTAACTACCCATCTCTAAGACATGATGGACCCTAAGTAGCATCCAGGGCTGGTCAGTAAGGAGATGCCAGCTCCCTGCTTCACAAGCACCTGCTCCTAGGTGGGCCCCCAGCTCAGCAGTCCTCTGAGCTACCTCTGAGCATCCACACCCCTCTCAGTTCTCTCCTGGAGCCTTCTGAAGGCAGGAGGCCTGGCTTAGCTACTGAGAATGGGCTTTTATGTGGCACACTTTATCACCATGCCCACAATTGTTGATGCCATGTGTAGGAGTCTGGGCCGCACAGAGAAAACAATCTCTTCATGAGGACTCTGGATGACAGACAAACAGGGCAGGTCTGATAACTGGTTAAAAAGCATCTTTCAGGAAGTGTTTCCTGATACCTGCTTGCAGTCCCTTTCCTCCCCTCACAGCACAGGTGGTCCTGCATCATCATGGCCTGTACCTGTCTCTGGATAGGAAGCTCTTTGGGTGGGGACAGGCTAGTATGTAGCAGTACTAAGAACACAATGGCTCTCACTGAGAACCTGCTGAATGGATGGGTCTTCTCTCAGACAGCTAGGTGGAGTGTGACACTGCGTCATATTCTTGACTAGACCCTACACTGCTTGAGGGCTGGGACTCCAGGTTCTACTTTTCTGTAGCTTCCCCCTTTCCATAGCCTCCCTGCACTCTGAGAAGAGGCTGGCGCCTAGCAGGTACATCAAGCACAGATGAGTGAAGAGCAAAGCCCCTCCCCCAGCTCTCGCAGGGCTGGCTGGTACCATCTTCCTTTCCAGGTCTCACCTACTGTCTTTTCCTCAGAGAAGCCTTCTTGGGCCAGCTCATCTCCAGGCACCCCAGCTCCTGTGCCTTCCTTTAGCTTGCTTCTGCCCTCTTGTCTCTCTCCCAGACTAGACTGTGAATTCCATGGAGCAGAGACCTTTCTGCCTTGATCACCCCTGTGCTCTCACACAGACCTAGCCTGGCAGACACTGTGTGGAATGAATGAGAAAAGGCTTTTAGCGGAACAAAAGCAAAAGGCAGAGCACAAAAAAGGCTTAGACACCTTTTCGTCTTATTCAGGGTCAAAAACAAAGTTCTGAGTGGGCAGATCAGAGCATCCAAATATCCATATGCTCCCACATCCCAGCAGGACAGACTGAGGGCTCCTGAGAGTAGGCAGTAAGGGTGTGCAGCACTGCTCCAGGGTGGAATAGGGAGGGAGGTGTTCTCATAGACATGGACCCAGAGTCCAGCTCCTCTCCCATCAGGAAACAAGGCACAAGTGACCACAGCAGCGACTGGGCACAGCACTAAACACTCAGGACATTCTTGTGAGGTCACTTGGGCCAGGCTCCATGTTGGGAACAAGCATGGTTGTACCAATAACTCAGCACTGAATGCAGGCAGAGGAAATGGCTCAGATTCAGCTAACTATAGTCCTGCCACGAAGACCTTACAAAACTCAATCATTCTAATACCCAAGTGTCAATATGGCAGATGCCACAGCAAGGATTTGCCTTGTGCTTCTTTCCCAGATTTAGTGACAGGTTGTCCTGAGCAGTCCCACTCCTCTTGTGAGCACAATAGTTGGCGAAAGGGATGACGGTGTGGATATAACTGAGTCAAGGCCTCCAGCCCCCATGAGAATAGATCTCTGACCTTGACCTCATGAATACTGGGCTCAGATTCAAAACCAGCTGGGCTCAGACAAGGGGTATATGACGGAGCACTGGCATTCTTAGTGCATGTTTGCCATGTAAACAAGAAAGAGAAAGCTAGATGGAAGAAATGAAATGGATGCTGTACTTCATTTAATGGTACAGTTTACAAGCACCCCCATACCAGGCATAACAGGGTTCAGCAGCCAGAAAACACAGGCTAGCTGGGTTCGCAAGCATGTCAACTGTCTCGTTATATGTGAACATTTCCCCTTTGGCTCTCGAGACAGCCTAAAGTTGGTGGAATAGAATAGTTATCTCTATATGAGTTTTAGGTAAATCGGGGCCTAGAGAAGTTAAGGGACTCAGCCTGGTCACACAGCATGTAAACTGTGAGGTTAAAAACAAGAACATCCTCAGCTTTCTATCTAGCAACGTCCCCTCCCCCTCCTGGTTTCCTTGGCTGACTGCCCATGCTATGCATAGCTTTCCTGGGTGTGTCACCATATTCTGGGCCTCTGTTTCCTCATCTACAGAGTGAGAAGATGCATACTTAATTCACACTACCAGGCATGCCATCTGTACAAGTCTCTGCCAAGGAGAAAGTCAAAAGTCCCAAAACATGTACAGACATCTCATAAATCTAGCACGATTACTTTTCATGCCTCAATACTTCCAGTATGACCTCCCTGATGACTGTGTTCACTATGGGGGAACCCTTGGCCTTGCCTAATTGAGAGGTCTGGGAGAACAGGACGTGACCCAGCTCTCTGCTGTCTGGTTATATCACTCCAGAAGAGGCATTGCTGAGCCTCCCCTTTCTGGCTTAGAAGAGATGGCTGCTAGAATCAGGAAACTCTCTCCTGGAGCCTGCAGATCCACCTGATCACATCTCAGGTAGTAAGTGGTGCTACAGATCCCAGGACAGCAGGATCTGGGTCCTTCACAGCCCCAAAGAGGTTGTGTGCAACCCCAGGCAAGTAGACTTCAGGCCTGGTTTTCCCTACACCAAAAATGCAGATCATATCCATCCCTGCCCAACTGGCTGCCCACAATTGGTATGGAGACACAGATAAGATTATATCTATGAAAAGACCGAGAGCCCCTTCCAGAGATGGTTGATTCTGAGTCCGGGGCAAGGAAAATCCAAGGTGAGGCTGAAACATCTCATTGTGCTAGAAAGCAAGGCAATGTACAGAAATAGATGGAGACATGACAAAAGCACCTAAGGACCAGTTTAAATGTCAAATTTGAGATAATTTGAGCATTAAAATGAGTAATGACATGAATAGTAGTATAACTTACTAAATTAAAAAAATCCATGAGCCAACACTGATGGTACAAAAAGTAAGGAGGGAAGGACAGAGGGAAAGCTCCTATTTACAGAAGAAGGCCAACTAAGAAATGTAGAGATGAAAGAAATGGAAAAAGTCATTCTATAACCACTACAGTAATAACAGATTCAGTTAAGATCCAGAGTAGCTAAAATCACTAGGTGAAAGATTGTGATGCAAGATGTGCAGAAATCCAGCAAGCGCCACCTTAACTGAATGAGCGAATGCAATACCACCAGGGATGGGACAAACTCACATCAGGTGCCACCCAATGTGATGCACAGAGGATTCAGCATTCCTGATGCAATTCTCCTGCCAAAATCTGTGACTTGAATCTAATTCTAAATCCAACCCAGAATGAAGGGCACTCTCCAAAACAGCTGGCCTAGATGCTACAAAAACGTCAATGTCATGAAAATATTCTTTAAAAAGCTGGGGAATTGTTCAAGATTAAGTAAGACTAATGAAACCTGGCATTGAAGGCAATGAATGTATGAGTCTGAAACAATGGATCCGGACTGGGGAAAAAAAAATTAAACAAAATTATAACAGACTTTATTGAGACAACTGAGGAAATTTCAAAATGGACTATATAACAGCCAAAAGTAAAAACAGGAACAGTCACACGTATGTGCATGCATACAGATATACACACACACACACTCACACAGGGTAAAGGGAGATAAAGCAAATGGGGAAAATGTTAACTGGTAAATCTAGGTGAAAATGTTCACTGGACTATGTTTGCAACTTTTCTGTAAGTTTTAAATGTTTCAAAATTAAAAAAAACAAAAGTGGTCCTTGGAAAGCTATTAAAACTGCTGCAGCTGAGCCAGTGGCATCTGAATTGACTTGGGCACACTCACCTGTCAGGTATTCCAGGACTGCAGCCATGTACACGGGTGCCCCCACTCCAATCCTGTACTTGGGGTGGCCTTTCTTGATGTACCGCAGCATCCTCCCCACAGGGAAGATGACTCCTGCCTTGGCAGACCGGGAGGTCTTGGTGGATTTCTTTTTCCCACCTCGGCTCGACATGGCAGTGGCCCTGGAGGCAGATTAGTAAGCACTCTGTGAATGCAAGAGGAACACCTGTCAGGCTCACTCAGGACAGTACATGCTCCCTTTCCAGGTACACTCTGGTCCCCTAGAAGGCATGGGTCCTACCAGCTTTCCATGGCTGTCATGATTCCCAAGACAGATCCTGGACTTGTGGGTTGCCATGCAATGCCCTAAAAATCTAGGCCTGGCACCCCTGAACAGATTAGCCTTGGGCCACCTGGGGTCTAAACCTGGACACAGGAAGCCCCACCAAGGTTCCCCCCAAATATCCTTCAACTTCTTTTCTCCCTGCCTTTTCAGTGGCTGTTCACTTGCCCTCTGCCCACCCTCTGAGTGTTTGGATCTGGGTGCGCCTTCCTCTGAGCTCCATGCACTGCACTTCACAGCAATGACATGCAGGTACCCACCTCTCCTGGGGAACAGCTGGAGGGTCGCCTCAATTGTATTCCTTGCATAGTGCCATAGTAAGGTCTTGAATGTTTACTAAACACATTCAGTTCATTCAGGTATTCACTTCAGGGATCTATGCTAGGTACATCGGGTACTGTCATTTAAATAATAATCATGATGAATACTTCAAAGGGCCAGTGCAGGGTGCTGAGAGAAGGGATGTCAAGGGACTCAGCTTATTCTGGAGCCCCGTAGGGATCTTCCCTGTGGAACATCTATGCTCAGAGACTGAACCAAATGAGTAGATTTCCAATTTACTGATAAACTGAGGTCTGGCTCCATGGTGCAGACCCCTTCAACTGTAACAATCCATGCCTCTGTGACTGGTGGAGACCACAGGGCTGAGTTCTTGCTACTCTATGCCAACCCCTATACCCACACCTAACATTTCTTTGACCCCAAGAGCATTTCAAATCATATGTCTGCCAGAGATGGCTGCAAGGGCAACAGACAGCAGAATTCTGGGCACTCTGGGGCTGCTGTGCTAACAGGCCCAACGGAGTTAGGGTGGCTGAAGATCTGGCTCCAGAGAGAGTTAGAGGCAGGTAATAACCTTGCTCACAGGTTGGAGACCAGCAAGAGTGAGACCCCCATCTCTAAAAATAGCCAGGCATTGTGACAGGTGCCTGTAGTCCCAGGCAAGAGAACTGCTTAAGCCCAAGAGTTTGAGGTTGCTGTGAGCTATGACACCATTGCACTCTACGGAGGGCGAAAGTGAAACTGTCTCCCCCCCTAAAAAAAGCCTCTGTGATGAAAACCCTGCATTGCACCCTTTTAGGGGCACCAAGTCTTAATTGCTCACAGAGTGCTAGAAGAGAGAGGCCCAGAGTGGTCTGAGTTTTCCTAAAACAATTAGTTGGATCCATTCCTTATTGTAATGACTTCATTTTAAAAACATTCCCCGTGAACAGGTTCTCATGCTCACTCTGAGCAGGGGAGTGTATGTGCCTGTGTTTCCAGGATAAGCTACCCCTGGGTTTCCTAGCAGTCTTACTTTATTACAAATGCATCTCACAGACCAAGAGCCAACTCCGTTGGACTAAGAGCCTTTCAATATGAACATATCCCCTCTTTCAGCTAGGGAGGCCTTGATCAGAGATGATTAACAGCAGCTTAGCCCCTTTCCTACGGAGCATAGACTTCACTTGTTCCCCAGCACACCTGCTGGGCCTGTTTGGGGCTGTCACTGTGGGAACTAGACAGTACTCTCCTCCAGAGAGCACTCAGGAGCCTGGCAGGTCCAGTGACACTGATTCCTTAAAAGTGATGCTCCCTGTTTTGACTCTTCTGACACTAAGCAATGGTCCTTATGTCAATATGCCAGTGTATACTGGCTGCTGGACCACAAAACTCTGTTCTGACCCTACGGCAAAGGCACACTTACAAGTCCCATGGGTAGCCTGTACTCCGAGGCTCTCTGCCCCATCAGTGGCAACATTATGTACCAAGCCACCGACTTGGAGTAGGAGTCAGCCAGGCCCCTACTTTCCTGTGTACCCCACAGCACCCAAGCATTAGCCAAGTTCTGCTAAACCTGCTTGCAGAAACTCTCAACCCTCTTCTCTTCACCCTCCCTGCCTTGGTTTTCCCCCATTTTCCCAGCCCCAGTCTTTCTCAACAGACACCAGAAGCACCTCTGAGCCTACTCTGATGGTTCTACACCAGCCTGAGCTCCTGAGTTAGCCACATACAGCATCCTTTGACTATTTCCAGAATACTGCTTCCCACCACCCCTGCCTGGGCTCAGATGCCTCAGGCCACCCTAACTTCCTGAGCCTGTCATGCTGCATTAAGGACATCTGTGACTATGCTGTCTCTCTTGCCTAGAATACCTTTCATCCTTTTGTCAACCTGCTGAACTGATCTATCCATGGAGCCTTCTTGGACCTGACCACAGCCTGGAATTGATCACTGCTGTATGTTCTCAGAGCACAGATCCCAGTATGTGTCTGTGTGCCTGTCTCCCTGCATACTACTTAAAGCCAAGCTCTGTATTCAACTTATCCCTAGGTCCCTGGGTCCCAGGAAAGGTCCCAGGAAAGCTGCCCCCACTGCCACCCTGCTGACAGAAGCATGTCTTCACTTCTCAGTGAGTCATACTCCTCTCCAATAAAGCAGTCTCAAATCTGTATCCTCACCAAGGGGGTTTTCTTGCAGAGATTCTATTCTTTACCCCTCCTCATGTTCTTTCAGCATTCTAACTATAGTTCCCAAGCTACAGCCTTAGCTAGGAAAGAATTCTGACTAAGCCATGCAGCCTCATGACACCCAGCAATGTGTGCTGGTTTTTAAAACACCCTTTGGAAAATCACCTCATAACTGTGAAATCTCCAGAGAAACCCATGAGTGTGCCAGTCTACCCTCTATGCAGAGGTCTGTGGAGGTGTGTGGGAAGCTCCAGCCAAACACTAATGGTGGAGAGAGAGTGGCTGACAGGCAGGTGACAATTGGGCATCATGATTAGTATCCAGAAGCAAAAGACTCATCTGATGCTAATCATGGCTCTGCCACCTACTGGCTATATGTCCTTGGGCACATCTGTCACATGGAGATGACAGAAAGGACCTGAAAGAACTGGTGGCAGAATTGAGTCAAAGCATGTGTGTAAGGTAGGTAACAAAAATGTATATAACAACAATGTGTATAAGGTGAAAAAAGGTCACTTTGATGCATAACAGATCTGGGACATTTGTACAATGAAGATGTTGCTAGCTGCTATAACAGATAAGTCCTTGCTACTTATTTCTCATTCATGAAAATTCCAAATGGATTTCCATGATGGGCTGGTGCTTCTCTGCCACACAGTGAGTCACGGATCCAGACCCCCACCCCCAATCTTGTGACTTTGACATATACAACGTACAACTCCCACAGCTGCCTTGGAAGGAAAAAGACCATGGAGAACACAAGAAGATTTTAAAGGGCCAGGCCTGATAGTGGAACACATCTCTTCTAACCATGAGCCATAAACTAGAACTTGGCCACATCTAATTGCAAGAGAGGTTGGGCTATTTGCTCAGAAAAAAAGCAGAAGCTGTTAGTCTCTGCCACATGATAAACCAATTGAAAGCTGACCCTTAGGCCAGTGACTGAGTGACTAGCCAAAGCCTGCTGGGCCCTGTTTGACCCATGTCCTGCACCCAGCCTAACCTGAGGAATGGACAGTCCTATATCACAGACAAAGCAGCTCCTTAACCACCAGCTTCCTTGCAGGGCACTGAAGTTGGTCACAGAAGAAGAGCTAAATCATCTGGTGAAACTGATAAAGGTATGTCCTTCCCTCCTCACCCATCCTGATGATGTGAGCCATCTGAGACAGTGACAGGTCTTTAGGTAACACTGTATCCACTCATCAATGCACATTAGCTTGGCTGCCCTTTTGGCTGTTATCAGTTTAAGAAATGAAGATTCTGTAGCTAACCCTGTAAGGATCTCTGTGGTCCTTATCTCTGCAACTCTGTCAACTGTAAGCCATTCACAATAAACATTATTAACATTGTTTGCAAAACCTCAAAGCTTACCTAGAAACAAAATATTGAAGAGAAGCTATGTGGAGAGATAAGCCAGGCTTGAGTGAGAAGCAAAGTCTTCTGACTACAGGCCCCTCAACAATCAAGACATTACTGGAACAACACAACCTGTTCTCAGAGCACTGGACTCATTAGAGGAATACCTATGAAGACTCTGTGAAAGAGACAGACATGGGAACAGTAAGCTTCTACTATTTAGCGGGGGGTGAGAAATGAAAGTGCCCTAGAGGCCCTCCCACACCTAGCGGGCACCATAACAGTTGGCTTGTCGCGCTGCAAACCACCTTCACTCCCACCTGCACCTGTCAGGGGTGGTCAGCCTTTTTTTTTCCTGCCACACACTGGAAGAATAAAAGAGTTGTAGTGGTCCACACATTAAATACACAAACACTAATGAAAGCTGATTAGCAGGGAAAAAAAAGACCGTTCATACTTTTTGTACTATCTGATACCACAATAAAGCAAAAAAGTCCTCACAAAATCAGCATGCAGCCCACAGGCCACAGGTTAAGCCACTTCTGCTTAGCATACACAGCTTGCTCAGTGTGGAGCACCTCCCCAGCCCTCTGTCTGGAGTGGTGCCAATGCCTTCTCTGGTAATGCAGATCCATCAAGGAGCTCCCTCCTCTGCATTCTTGCTGAGGCTGTGCCTCTGTCCCCAAGTCACAGTCTAATTTGTGGCAGTCCCATGCCTACCTAGACTCTGGTCCTGTGCATGAGGCCCACCTGACCTCCAACCCCTCTCTCCCTATTTCCAGCTACCAGAGTTTTACTAAGCTAAATCCCTACTGGTTCCCTCAATGGGTATGCCTGCTATGGCCCCTGGGGCCCAGCTGAAGATGCCCAGCTCAGTCAACCCCTATCCTTTAACACATTCAATTACTTACCTCAATATTACATGAACTATTCTGCAAATGCAATTTCCAGCCTTTCCTACCAACCAGACTGCCACTCTAGATCCAACTTACACATAAATGCTACCCCATCCTTAGCACTCATTACACTGTGTCATCATTGCCTGTTCACTTGTTGGTCTTGATGAGATGGACCAATTTGCTCCGTTCACCACTGTATCTCCAAGCACCCACATCCTGCCTGATACTGCTGGATAGGAGGTGATTAGTCAGTATTTACAGTGGATGAGGTTCTCTTGACAAAGAAGGGGGGCTGCATTTCCAAAGGTTCCAGGACTCAAAGCTAGAGACATCAGACAGGGACTTCCCCTGATACCATTCATGTACATATGCCTGACCAAATCCCTGTGGGACACCAGACTCTCAAATTTCAGGGAGCTTGTGGAGCCATCTTGGGAATCCCCAAAAAGTGAATATCTCAATTGCTCTGATAACTGGCAATGGGTCACACAGAGGCCTTACAACTCTGTGAAAATTCTATGGCTACAATATCTCTGCTTTTGCCTTCAGCTCAGTAATATAGGCCAGAAGAAAATATTTACCTTTCTCACAACTGTAGTAGACCGACCCCTGTTCAAGCTATGGCAGAAAATCTTTAAACAATCAAATACTCATGAAACCACAGGGATGGTCATTCATGAAGTCTTGTATTATCTAACCAATGAATATGTGCATATTGATCCTGAACAAAATACTGATTGGAACTAATGGGCAGATCCTAGTTAGAGAGCCCTACCTTCAGGCTCTGAGGATAAGGGAATCTGAGGTACCAATGCTCAGAACACTATTGATGTGGGAGGACTGCCCCATCCATTCCCTATAACTGGATACACATCCCCATATCCACATGCATTTGTCACCATCCTACCAACTCCAATCATGAAGGCAAACCTGAGACATTTAATTCTGAAGGGCAGGACACTAATCCTGTTTACAGCATTCTCTTTCCTTTACTCCTATCAAAGCAAATGATTAACGGTGTTACTGCTGTCAGGTCCCCAGAGGCAAGTGGCACACAACCACCACTCACAGAGGCGAAGGTTCAGAAGCTGCACTCTGATTGGCTTGGAACACAGAAGTGCTCTTGTACTCTAGCCAATCAGAAAAACATTTCTCTCCATTCATAAAACACAACATCATAAAGTAAGCAAGATGATTAAAGAACTTATGGTCCACCCTCAGTAAAACAGAGGACTGCAAACAGAAGAGACAAACTAACTGAGATAGCAAATAAATCCTAAACCATGTATTTTGTTTTAGCAGATGTATCTCATTTCATGTGTTAGGGGGATTTGGTGGGGGGTGGGCAGATAGGGCCAAATCCCTGTGGGACATCAGATACCCAATACCCTGTGGGTAGTATTGGAAGAGGAGCAAACCCCAAGCACAGTGACATTAACCACAAGTGGAGAACAGTTTGAGGGAAGCCAGTCTGGGACTGAAATTTCATCTCTGCAAACCCACTCCATGGTGTGCTTCCTGAGCAGCACTGAAGGAGCTGGCCCTATCTTTTAATACATAGCAAGTCACTGTCTGCCTGCTATACAAGGAAACTTTCCTACATAATTCCCTTCTTTTAAAGATTGTACCAAAGTCTAAAATAACCATTCCAATAAAGGTCATCAAGAGAAAAGTCCAAAGGTAAGCTTCAGCAGACAGGCTTAGTATTTAGAAGCCACTTGGTATCTGTTGACTAGATGTAGCCTTTCCAGTAAGAACAGAGGAACACCTGATTGGGCATCTCTCCTGCTCACAGCCCTTTAGTGGCTCTCACTTCTCTTACAGCAGGGGTCCTCAAACTTTTTAAACAGGGGGCCAGTTCACTGTCCCTCAGACTGATGGAGGGCTAGACTGCAGGCCCCAGGACAAGTCGGCTGCTAAGCAGGACAGGCAGCGGTCGCAAAAACACCTGGCAGACTGGATAAATGTTCTAGGCAGGCTGCATGTGGCCCGCGGGCTGTAGTTTGAGGATGCCTGTCTTAGAGTAAAGTGTGGTTCTGAGCAGGGGCCTTTGTGATTAGTCCCTCTGCTGTGCAGCTTCACCTGGTTCTCTACAGTCCTTCACATGACTGCTATCCTTTTCCTCTGAGGTCTGCACATGTGGTTCCACAGGCCTCAAATATTTGTCCCCATCTGCCCCTCTTTGCCTGGTCAACTCCTATTTACCTTTTCCAAGCCAGGTTACGTTTATGGTTCCTGTCTAGGTCACTGTCTGCTGGGGGTTACTGTGGCCTCCTGTGCTGACTTCATAACTGCCACTTGCCTGTCTTGTTCTCCTAATGTCAGCTTCCCCCAGGGCAGGGACTATTTCTCAATCATGGCTGTCACCCCAGTGTCTGAGCCAGAAATGATTCTCAGGAAAGACCAATATAAAGACTACAAGACACTGACCTGGCAGGTCTGATCTAAGAAAAAGCTATACAACTCTTTGGAACAAAGAGCTGAACTACTCAGGATCAGAGCTGAGGCAGGGCCCCAAGTACCTCTAAACCTACAGAATGTGGGAAGGACTCACCATAGGACAGGTCTAGGCCCACTCACTCAGGTCTGTTCCCAAAATGGGACTCTGCAAGGCCTATCACAAATCCTTGGAGACACTCAAGAACTAGAGGCTGCTGCAATTCTGATGAACACTAGATATAGATTTTTGTTGAGTTCTTTAGCTTGATGTTTTCCATTTATGACATTTTAAAAAATAAAATCTCTGGGGGCAGCGACTGTGGCTCAAAGGAGTAAGACGCCAGCCCCATATGCCAGAGGTGGTGGGTTCAAACCCAGCCCCGGCCAATAAATAAATAAAATCTCCTGTCAGTGACCTGGGGCAGCATTAGCTCTCCAAGTATTAGAGGGAGAATCTAGAATGCATGTACTCTCAGTCTATAAATGGGGAGGGAAGGAAGGGCTCACCTCAAGTTCTGCTCTTTCCATGACCAAAAGACACAGCAGACAGAGATATGTCATTCCCTGGTCCTGGCCCATTTGGTAAAAACCAAGCCAGTGACTATGGTTTGGAAGAACATTAGAATATCGCATGTAAAGTTCCAGAGAATTCTCAAAGCTTAATAAAATGTGAGCTATCCTTACTTCAATTTGCACAATTTTTACTTATGTATCACCCTATGCCTTACCTAGGAATCAGCATTAACAATGGTAACAGATGAAAACAAAAGAACAGACTGGACAGATTTCCCTCTCTCCTTGTAAAACTAAAGTGGATTAGAATTTGGAGTCTTAAGAGTTTTGCTCTTAAGAGTTTTTGCTCTTCTTTTAAGAAAAAAATTAGTTTAAAAATATATTTGTCCTCGTCAGAGTCTCTTGTGCAAGACTGGATCCTAGTGCCCAACTGAGGTTAACTGCATACAGGGGTATTAATTCTGGTGGCAGGCATGCAGTGTCCATTTTAGAGTTAGTAACACATCTGACAACAGGTTAGTAGCCTAATGGTGGACTGCAGTAGGTGGATTCCACCTAATTTACAACTTGAGTCTGGCACCCAAACCTAAGGCAGTTCAAAAATTCCCAACTCCCTGGAGCAGGAGCCTTGGAACAAAGCACTCTCCACCCCCACCCCCACCTTTAAGAGTAAAACCTCAAACCACTAAGGTGGAAAAAAGAGGGACGCTAGCTAGAGTGCCTCTCTAATCGTCCATTCTTATATGCTGTTTATTGGATCGTTAAGATCTTATAAGGACTTTACAATAATTTTTGAATTCAAGGTTTGTTTCAGCTTTATTGTACAGGAGTCTCTCACTTTCAAACTCGGAAACATTTTTCTCCAAAATCTTGTCCAAAAAGAGCCTTTCAAACAATCTACTGACCAACCCCTTGAATGATTTGCGGTCCCTGCAGGAGTGGAAGTATTAAGTATCATCTCACACACCTGTTGTCAGGTGACACAGCTAGCAGCATCCCGCGCACGCACTCACCTCCCTACTCCTCCCCACCCCGGGCGAGTCTCCTCACCGCCAGCCTCCACTAGGGAGCCTACCGCCTTCCGTAGTTACCTTTTAAAAAACCAAACCACAAAAGACAAAACCCCTTCCAACCACAAAGCAAACAAAAGACCTACACTGAGACAATCAGGAACAGCAGGGGTTCCGTGGCCCCTCTCCAGCCCATCCCTGGACACCCCCACCCCCAGCCTGGCTTCAGTCCCGCGAACAGACCCCACCCCCAGCTCTACCCTCCCAGCAGATGCGAAGCCAGACGCCTAAACCTCGGCCCCCTGGGGCCCGACTTATTGTGCCCGGGCCGGCCACTCAGGGGGCGGCGGGCGCCTCACCAAGTATAACTCCGCACACAACAGCTCCCGAGCACCCGGGCCCAGGCTGGCCAGCCGGCGCCGCGGGGCCTCTGGCGTCCTCGGGCCCAGCCCGCGCGCCCGCCTCAGGAAGGGTCGCCGGGGGAGGTACCAGAACTGTCTCCTTCCCACAAAAGCTCCCAGGCGAAGGGAAAGGATGCTTTTCGAAGAGAAGTTGGTTTCCGGGTTTGCTTTTTGAACAAAACCGAAGGGAATTCCGCGCGGCCGAGCAGGGCCTGAGAGGGCGCCGTGCGCGCGCAAGGCCACGGCGTGGGCCGCGCGGAGTCGAGGGAACGAGCCCAGCCCAGCGCCGCCCCGGTGCGCGGCAGGCCCCGTCGCTCCCGTGTACCGTGGCGAGACCCGAGCGGCGGGGACAGGGCGCGCGGCCAGAGGGCCCGCCAGGCACTTACGGGGCGGCTTGGCGGCGGCGGCGGCGGCGGCAGCAGCAAGGTGTCTCGGCCGGAGCCCTCTCGGCCGCTCGCGCCTTTTCTCTCCGCGCTCCTCGCTGGCCCGCCCGCCCGCCTCCTCGCTTCCCGCCCGCACGCCCCGCGCTCGCCCCCTCCGCCGGGCTCCGCTGCCGAGTGAACTGGAACCACTCGCCGCGGCCCGGGATTCCCACAATGCACAGCGCGCCGCTCGTCACATCCCATCTCGTCCCCGCGCGTCCGGCCACCCCTCCCTTCGCCGCCGGGCGCCCGGCCTTGACCCCAGTCCCGCACTCCTCAACGCCGGCTGCAACCAGGCGTCCACCTGCGTGAGGGACGCAAGGTCCGACCCACGATCCCGCGGAGCGCCCACAGCTAAGTCCTTGGAAAGGGTCAGGCCTGCAGGAGAGGCGCTTCTCCAGGGTGCGTCCCAGTCTCTGCGTCTCGAGTGAGCGCCTATGGTGTGCCTGGCGGTGAGCTCGGGGCTTTCGCCACCACATCCCTAATAACTTGCCATTAATCCAGGGAAGAGGCATAATTGTTATTACTAGTGATCACTTTTCTCTCCCCGTCAGTGCAACCCCACGCCTTGGAATCCCCGCTGCCTTTACGTGCACGCCAACCCCAAGCCCCTGTCTGCCCCCAAGATCACCTTCTGCACACTTCACTCCCCGGGGAGTTGTGCATAGTCAAACCCCCCTCACCCCGAACCTGCTTTGCCTGTGCAAGAGGTTAGCTACTTCAGCAAACTTTCGCTTTTGGACCCAAACAGTGATTCCTTATCGTCACACGCATTTTTGAGAACTGCTGACAAGCTGCAAGAGGAGGGGCCGTCTCAAAGCCCATCCTTATTTGCTTAAACTGGTTTTTCGGCTAAAGGCATTAGTGCCCTATCCCGGGTACTTAAATAAGGACCTTGGCAGTGCTCCCCTCTCTGAGAAGTGTGAAAATGAAAGCTACCTCTCTACAGCTGTGAACTCAATTTGAATAGTAATACACAACCCTCGGGGTTTAGGTGAGGTGAAGTTTGCGGTGAAGCTGCTGGGGTTTATGGAGGTAATTAAAAACTGCCCCCAGCCCTCAGGATACATTTGAATAGTAGGGACCTAAAGGCTTCCACCTCACCATGGTGCATTACACCTCATTTTCAAAGTTTGCAGAGCAGTGTTCCGATACGTGTCATCTATGCATTCATTAATTCAATTAAGTGCTGCGGACATACTCTGTGCCTTGCACCGGTTTGGGTGCTGGATATGAAGCAGTGGACAGGACAGGCAAAATCTAGGCCTGCCTGGAGTTTGTAGTTTACTGGGTGGACATGCAGTGGGAAAATAAGGCCGGAAGGGCAATAGGGTGTGTGAGAAAGGAAAGAGGTTTCAAATTTTAGAGAAGGCCCCAGGAGAAGGTGACACTTAAGGAAAGACCTGAAGAATGAGGGAGCAAGCCCTGTGAGTATCTGGGGGAAGGAGTGTTCCAGGAACCAGGAATAGCAAGTACAAAGGCCCTGGAAAGGAGTGTGTCCAAAATAGTCTAGACCCAAAGAGTCAGCTGGGTGTGGTGGCTCACGCCCCATAATCCTAGCACGCTGGGAGGGCGCCCTGGGCGGATAGTTTGAGCTCCGGAGTTGGAGACCAACCTGAGCAAGAGTGAGAACCCAGCTCGACTAAAAACGGAAAAACTGAGGCAAAAGGATCGTTTGAGCCCGAGAATTTGAGGTTGCTGTGAGCTATGATGATGCCATAGCACTCTACCCAGGGGAACAGAATGAGACTGTCTCAAAAAAAAAAAAAAATGGATTTCAGATTCTATATTGCAATTAACATTTAAGAAACTATTACTTCTTGAGTTTTGATATAGGGTCAAAGAACATCTGTAGTTATCTGAAAAGCCTATTAAAGTTCTCAATTCTTTCCCAAATACATACCTTCCTAAGGGCAGATTTTCTTCATGTGCTTCACACAAAACAACACACACCAACTGACTGAATGCAGGAAAATGGGTGAAGGGATGAAGGGGTGAAGGGGAAAAAACAGGAAATGGAGCTGAAGAAATGATGGGTCCCCAAGCAAAGCATTAAGGATATAGGAGGATCCCTCAGGGAATGGGTGTCAGGGAAAGGGCAGGCACACACACACACCTTTATTAGTGTGTTTTATGCTGGGTCCTTGGGTAAACGCTCTCAGTTCTACAGAGACCACTGGGTGAGGTGAGAGTCTGCACTCCTCCAACAGCTGATCTTGGTGCCACCTCCACGCTCCTGTGAAGTGTGCCATTCTCATAGAACACACTAGAAATATTGTGAGCTGTTCAATGCCCGCTGAAGCCCTGTCCCCACCTCCCTTCAGAAGACTCCACCTTCTCTCTCTCCTCTCTCCGCCTGTGCCCTGCTTTTCCACTTCACTGACCTGCCTCTTTCAACAATCAGACTCAGGAAGGAACACCGGCTCCTCCTCCTTCTCCGTCTCCTCCATCTCCTCCTTCTCTTCTGTTTACGATTTTATTTCCAAATTGCAAAATAAAGGCATGGTCCTCATGGAAAACAGAAAAGAAAAAAAAAAAAAAAGATTACCCTAGCACATTGCTAGGAGAGAATGCCTACTCCTCTTCCAGACTTTATATCTGTATCTACTTAGTATTAATCATATAGGGTTCTTACTCTGAGTCTATTTAATGCTTGTCACCTGCTTTTTATTTTATTTACTTTGTATTATTTGTTTCAGGTTAATTTGAGGGTACAGAGAATTAGGTTACAATGTTTTCATTTGTTGAGTCCCTTTTATAATTGTGTCCCGCCCCCAAGAGGTGTGCCACACACCCCAATGTCTGCCCATTAAGTGAGAGCACACCCAACCCCCTCCCTCCTACCCTCTTCCCCACTCCTTCGTTCCCTGCCCTCTACCTTGAATTAATTTGAGTTTTTCTCTTAGGTAGGGATGTATTAGATCATCCATTGGCTTCACATTAGTGTTGAGTACATTGGATTCTTGCTTTTTCATTCTTGAGTTACTTTACTAAGAAGAATGTGTCATCTGCTTTTTAAATGTAATGGTCCTTTGCTATGCGTGAGCATTTTACCAGGTAGTTACTCTACAGATTACAGTTCTCAAACTATTTGGATTTAGAGACCCTTGATCCTCTAAAAAATTATTGAGGATTCTGAAAAACGCTTGTTTATGTGGGCAATATCTATCAATATTTGCTTTATTAAAAATTAAAACTAAGAAAAATTAAAGTTTCATTTTAAAATCTTAACATGTAAACATCCTTATGTTAACATAAGGATGTATTTTATGGCTCGGCGCCTGTGGTTCAAATGGCTAAGTATTGCAAAGTTGCCAAACTCATGGTGACAGACACGAGTTTCCCAAAATTGTAATTTCTGCTTGAAAGTTCAAATTTATCACTGACAACATAAAGTCACAGTAGTTTTCCTTGAAGTGACAGGTTTGGTTCATTCACTTTCAAGAAAACATCTGCCACACACATAGGACCAAATTACAACTTTCATGAGCCTTAGGCATTGTCTCCACGGGACCCTTCCTCCATTAAAAAAAAAAAAAGCCAAAGGTCTACATTGGTATAAGGACGAATACCAGTGCTATCTTTTTTTCTTTTTCTTTCATTCTTTTTTTTTTGCAGTGTTTGGCCAGGACTGGGTTTGAACCTACGACCTCCTACCACCTATGGGGCCAGCGCCCTTCTCCAGCATATCTTGTGTCTTATATCTCTTGTAATTGCAGCAGTCAAATGTGACTTGAGTGTTGCAATTTTATTACATTTTTTCTTTCTTAGATTGTGTATACATTTTTTGGCACCCCTCTATATTACCAGACGGTAAAACTGTGCCTCATGGAGAATTCAGCCTGCACACTGCACACGCCCAATTCTGAATAACCAAAGTTTGTTATTCAGCCCCAAATTCTCCATTAAAAACAGTGCCACGGCCCACTGGAGCTTATAGACCCATGAAAATGTCTTAATTTCTTTTAAAATCAGAAGAAAACAAAAGTTATTTTAGATTAAAAAAATTGTAATATGTAATACATATTTCTGTCTTTTTACAGAGAAAGGGGTCCAAATATGTCTCGAGCCCGTGCAAGTACGGTGCAGTCCTGCTGTTAGTCGTTCTTTCAAGTAAAACTGGTGGTCCATGAAGAAAAGCTGTAGTTCAGTTCACAGCTCATTCACGCAAGCACTTTTCCTCAAGGTAACCATGTTGGTTACATGGCAGAAGTGCTTTATTCATACTCCCCATTCGGTCACGTAGCCTATTTTAAAACGTATCTTAAAGAGTTGATTTAATAAAATTAATACTTTTTACTGCTTTATTAAGAACATTCTAATGTGAAACCGGCTCCCTTTTGGTTTTTGGCTGGTGCTTGGCAATAAATAATAAGTTGATTTTAAGTACAGTTTGATTTCATTGCTGATGCTTGGTAAGTCACCAGCAGTTTTACCCACTATTATTTTTGCACCATTTTTGCAAAGGTCAGCACAATTAAAAGCTAAATAATGTCTTAATGTTATGATGAAAATAGTGGGTCTCCAGTTAGTTCTTCGACTTTGATTAACACACATGAAACCAAGAGGGGCGTGTGCACATGCAAGGGGCTGGAGTCCCCAGGAAAGAAAGCTTCCAGTAAACCTCCAGTGCTTCTCCCTCACCATCCTCCACCCCTACTAACAAACTGATGTGCTTCCATCCACTGAACAGATGCACTTATCAACTTTCCAAACTGAAGCCTTTTTTCCTCAATGGATTACTTCAAGAGGATATCTTTTTCTTCCGTCTGCAATTGGTAGCAAAATCTGACACTTGCCCTGGTCTTCGCCAACCCACACCTCCTCCTGTCTTTGTGAAGTAGTTAATGCCCTTCTTTAAGAGAAGTGCAGGTGAATACTTAATCTTAATGAGGAATAACAAAGAGGTCAAGGAAATCCATGGAGTTTCTTTTCTAGATTTGCTTTTCTAGCTTCAAATATCCTCTTCATCCTGTTGCTGCCCCCGCCCCCATAGCTGGGTTGAAAATACAATTTGAAAGACAGAGCAGTGGTACTCAAAGTCTGTCCCTGAAAACTTTTTATGGGATTAGTGGCTCAAAAATACTATCATTATAATATGAAAGCCTATTTACCTTGTTCACTGTGTTGACATTTGCACTAAGGACACAAAAGCACTGTGGGTAAACTGTTGGCACCTTAGCCTCAGTCAAGGCAATGGCCCCAAACTGTATTCATGGTCAAGGGATTCTATTCTTCACCCATCACTCACACACAGCGCTA